TATTCTGACAGTGTTTTGTAAACATTGTAAACTAAGGCGAAATAGGCATCTGTTTGCGCTCTTTCCTGTTAAAACACATAAAAACAGATTTCTGAAATTTGATTCTGAGTACGGAAAGCAGTTAGGAAACTGCTGTAGAGTGTATGTCTTAGCTGGGAAGTTATGTTGTGTATGATGGACCCCTAATTAACTGGATAACTAGAAGGGAAAATGTGAGAAAAACAGTTCACTTGGTGGCAGATCAATAATTAAGTGCCAATAACAGACAAATGTAAGAGGTGACAGCCATTTAACCTGGTGACAGGCAGAGGTGACAAATTTACACAATATAGCAAATAGGCATGAAAAGTTCAAATTTGTTTTTAACTCCCCAACCAATAGAACACAGCTCTGTCAGTTTTAAGTATAGTCTGATATTTAGTTTAATATATGGACCTGGTGCAAAGCTTGAGCATTCTGTTTTAAGAGCTGACACCTGTGCTTTGGTATGCCCAAATGTCTTTCTTACTTTGTCTTTTATCATTATTCCGAGGAATGACTGATTTTAATAGTACTCCTACTTGTTCTGCATTCATTTGAAGGCCATGTGATGTCCCTGGGCCTCATACAGTAACACATTTATCATTCCACTGTCTTGGCATCGGGCTTGCTGGCTGCTTCTTGCTTGCATGATCAATAAGTGCTTCAATGCTGAAGAAAGAGGCCTCACATGTTGTGCTGTCGATAAGTGGACTAAAGGAAACGTCTCACTGAAAGGTCCCTCATTAAGCCTCTTTGAAAGCGTTGACGTCCATGTAGGTTTATTAATCATGTGTCTGAGCCATGTCTTCATTTTCATTTGGCTCCAAACCTGGTAGCTGTGGTGCTGACAAGTGTACCTCTAGGACTTGAGCTTGGCAAGATAGCATAGAAGTGACAGAAAGAATGTGTGCAATTTATAGGAAAAGAAATCTAAAAAAATCTTTGTAATTTAAAGTTATTTAGATATGTCTTTACCAGCACATATTCTTATACACATTTTGTTTCTTGTGTTTCTGTCTAATGCATATCCTATGGGAGATATGTGAGATTTTTTGCTTTTAGCCTTTCACCAGTGCAAAACAACCATAATTTTCAACATCATGCTTAGTACAGTAATATAAGCAACCCTTACTGTACATTACCTCCAGTGCTGATGATGCCCTCAAAGAGTGATTCATTCAAGTGTGATTCGTTTTGTGTTCCTATGCTTTATTAATATTTTTAAATGTTGTTTTGTCAAGAAATAGCTTTACAATATCTTTCCACACCAACAAAATGAACTAAAATCCTCATCCAGGAATCAGCCTGTGCCGGGCCTCCCTATACTGTAGGTGACTCATGAGGCCAGTGCACATAAAACACGCGAGAGAAGAAAAATATAATACAAAAGGAGTCTTTATTTGCTAAATCTTCCTCATATACCAACAAAACTCTAAAACAACCTGACACCCAACTACCACCGGTCCCAGTCAGAAATGATTCCTACAGTACAGTATGCGAGAGTGTGGCTTTTGGCTGTTCACCTCATATTATCCATAAAATTAACTGGACTGTTCTATTGTTGCCTGAACACATTCAGTGGACTAATCACGGAACAGTGAGCTGCAAAGTGTTGTGAAATAGTATAGATAGAATCTAAAAATCTTAGAGGCTCTTCTACCTGAATCTTTTTCATATACTGTAGCTTCTGAGTGGTTCACTGTAGAGAGCTGGTGCATATGAATCAGGCTGCTTCTCTTTTTTGCAGTTGTGTAGAAGATTCTCATAGTTATATGTAAAAGCAAACTATGAAGAACATGAATGTGGGGTTTGTTAATATACCACACATGGACCCACTTGGTTCTGTTGTATGATGGATGTGGTTTCTTTGTTCTTGTGACAAAAACTGTATCGGCACGTTGCGTTTAATGTACATGAATTTGCACATTGAATTTTGCTAGCACTGCAAAATGGCCTTGTGCAAGTATTTTACCTTGCAGGGTAATCATGTATTGAATTTCTTTATTAATGATACTTTTTTCCAGCTGTTATACTCATCAGTAAATAAATAAAATTGCTTACTTGTACCTTTTGCATCTGAAATACAGCTTGCATATTTATTTTAGTTGTTAGTGACACCTCTCCTCTAAAGGAGGAGTAATTGTTACAGTCAAGTTTCAAAAACGTTTTTTCCCCATTTTTTGACTGAATTTGTTTTGGAAAAATGAATCTCAATCAATTTGTAAGACTGCATCTAGCAAAGGAGGCAGCATAATATGGGCTTATGTCAGCATTTCTGTGTTCCAGAAGGGCTATCCTGCTAAAGACTTTAACAATGTGCTGGGGTTCACTGATTATCAATGACAAATTGTGCAAACTGCAGCCTGTGTCTGAAGAGTTCAACTTAGCATTTTCTTAATAAGATATGTCAAGCCTTTAAGGGTGTATAGGTAACAAGAATACCACAAACAAGACTGGGAAAGATTTAATTACATTTTTTTTATCACGTGGAGTGTGTGTGTGAAAGAAAATGATGACTTTGCCACCGCAATTAACGTGTCCACTGTGAAGATAGAAAGCAAATTTGCATAATGCATTTTTAACTACCTTCTAATATCCTTGGGAGAACTAATGTACTGTAGCTCCTTTATTTGCACACAAGACGTGCCACTTCTAAATGGGCTAATTTTGAGTTTTCCATTTACCCGTCTCCCTCATGGTTCCCCTAATGTTGAAATACACAGCACACACCTCTCCCTCTCCTCTGTGTCCCGCCCTAGAGCCATGGTTCCTGAATGCACAACGTCTTCATCTAGTAGCATCTTCTGTTGCCCACGGTGCACCTTATCAGTAGTTTCTGCAGACACGTGGAACAGGGGCTTCACCAGATGCCTTCCTATCCCTGGTTCAGGTTCAAGCCTCGAGTCAGATTGTCCAGGACATCGCACATACAGTAGATGTTGTATCCTATCATGGAACACTAGCTCAAGGGCTTAAGGTTGGATCTAATTGAAGAGTACTACGTCTCCTTTTCTTTCTGTTTGGCTTCAATGCATGTTCTTTGGTGCTCATGAAAAATGCAAGATAACTGCTGGACACTTTGTACAGAGCTGGTGGACTATCAGTAGCTACTGTATATAATTCTCTTCTGTGCTGCGGTCTTATATAAACCGTTGACAGGCTGAAGCCTTGGAAGTCCTTTGGAAGTTGACTGTGAACGCCACAGTCCTGTTCTCATTACTTCTGTTTGAAAAGAGAAGATCCTTCCACCCTTTGAAGAATGGACTGGCTCTGCTTCACAAGGGTGCTTCTGTGTTTTTCTGACTGTTAAAACTGCTCAACTTTAACATCTCCAGCACTCTCCAAAAACAAATCATAACCAATCAATTAACAGGAACATTGATTTCACTGAGCCTTTATGCTCACTCCAGTTAATGATGCATAGAAAAAAGTAACTGGTTCATTGCTCTAACAAGCTCTGTATCACCAAATTGCATTTTACATTGTCTCCTTTTTTAAACTCAAACACATAATTAATCCCCACTATTGTTATTGAGCTAATTGTGCATTTTTGTCGTTTTTCTCCAGACGGAAATCTGCTGTTTTGCAATAAGTGGCATACGGTGTAGTAACTAAAAGCTTCTTAACAGTGAGGGTAAAGCAATCAATATTTGTTAATAGTAAATGTGTGAACTCGTTCCATCATCATCAGATAATTGTGCTTTAAAGATGAGATGGGCTTGGTTCACCAATGCTAATTACAGCTTTAACGATGATATAGCAGACAGAATTGAAAAAAGAACCATGCGTGAAACTGTAGACTATGGCATCTTCTTGGTAACATGTGATACTTGTCAAACTGTATGACTGCTAGCTTCACAAACATGTTTTTGTTAAAGGACATTGTGTATGCATTTTATATACAGTACACATTACAAACTTTAACAAAACCACTGCTAATACTTGGTAATTTATACTCTGTCCAATACTCTGCTAGAGCTTCTATATTCAAGATAAATGCATAGTTTAGCTTTCTTACAGAGGAAAGGCAGGAGTCGATTATCAAGTAATTTTAGGGGCTTTGATACGGTCTGTTAGCTATAAATCCAGGCCTTGAATACAATTTCACTGTCATAGGCAATAATGCTATTGTGCAGGGTTGTAAATGTTTTTTACATCTTCATGCAGTGTTGTTACTCTTACTTTCATTTGCAGATGATGTTTGAGTCAAAAGGATGTGGTTTTGCTTGGATTTACAACTAATAAGGGGATCAATAAAGGAAGCCACAGAAGGAAGTCCTGCCTAGTTCTTGATTCCTATAATGAGCTTTCAGACTTTACCACAATTGCAGAAGGCTTGTCCCCAATTGTATTCTCATAGAATACAGAAAAGATCTGAAAAGTGGATTTCTTATCCTACCTACCTTGTCTGTACTTGGCTACAAACACATACTGTTTTTTTCAGACCCTATCCCTCTAAACAAATAACTTCTAAATAAACAATTCAAAATCCTTATCCTCATTAACAGTGCACTAAATAAAACTGCCAGAATATCAGACCTGTCAGAAGTATATTTTGACAGAAATACTTTGGGGCCATAGACATATTTGTCTTAAGTATTGTGCATATTCCGTGAGTAGTTCATTTGAATATCTTTTTTTTTTTATCATCGGAACCTCCGGCGTTCAGGCGTCAGGTGTGCTGAAAACTTGTCATGTGATCATAAATGTCGATTATGTGCGTCGTATACTACTCTTAAAAAACTGCAAAGAATACTTATATAAACCGTGGAAAATTCTTCATTGGAAGTTAAAGTCTTGTAACATCGGCTATATTCCCCTTTAAACAGGATTATGTTTCACCTTTATATCTTATTTACGAAATTACACCTGGTTATTGCCAGGCCTTGAGCGGGCTGATCTTACAACTGAACATAATTACATTTTCACCTTAAAGCTGTGACCTGCTTATTGATTAGTTCACCTGGCTTCGTTTTCAGGTTTGCAGTACTGAAGGACCCCGCAGGCTGGCTCGGTGTTCACCCTGTGAAAGGAACTGTCAACACCACCGCCATCTTGGATCGCGAGTCCCCCTACGTTCAGGACAACACTTACACTGCTGTCTTCATGGCCATGGACAATGGTAAGACAGATCTTCCTGGTTTAAAAGCAATTATAATGTAATGGCTAACTTTGGTTCATAAAACCAAGATTTGGAAAGTGTTCTTGCTTTAGATGAAGTTCGATAGGTGCTTTGTTCCGATTTCTTTCAGAACTGCCCTCGTTCAGGTGCGTTGTCTGAAATGTAACTAATTGGACATCTGCAGAAGGAAAATATGCGTGTGATACAGAATCAGTCCCACCTGTTTGTCTTCATCATCAACTGATCTATTAGTAAGAGCTGTCCGGTCAGGAATAATGGCAAGCAAGTTGAGGATAGGCTAGGTAAAGTTCTGTGTGCTGAAGTTGTTGGAAGCACTACCTTGAAGTTGGGTACTTGACACTCAAGGATGACAAAAGCAAAAAAAATTAATAAAAGTGAAAAAAAAACCAAGTAGATCAATCTAGCACTGGATAGTTATAGCACAGCTGGAATGAAAACCAGCAGACAGTGTTCCTCCATGAGCAGAATTGTGAGCCATGGTTTTAAAACCATCTATTGGTGTTTGTCAGTGTTGTGTTTAGGGTTAGTATTAACAGTGTTGTGCATCTGCAGATGCCTTATTAACATTCTATCGAAACCTTAGATGGAAATATTTGGGGGGGTTAAAAAAGGCATTTTGGGGTTTGGCATTGCAGAAGCTATAGAAAGAAGTGTAGCATAAAAACAAATGACTGCTTCTGCTGCTCTAAAACCCACAGGGGGACACAGTTTGCAGTGAGGCAAGGTGTATGTACTGCACATCCGAATAACAGATGCATTTACAAAATGCATACTCATTGCAATATGAAACAAAAAATGAATAACAGAAAAGGGGCAGTTAAACTGTCTGTTTCATCCCAGACAGACAGTCACAAGGAAAGACTGAAGTGATTTACGCAGCAGTTAGCTGGGGACTAGTGCTTTCATTCCACCTGAATACTGCATTGAGATTAAAATTGATTGTTCTCTATGAATTGCCCAAGCATGCAAAAGCACTTTGTTGTGAAAATAAGTTCAAAACATAGCCTGGGAAAATTTTCTCCATTCCAGCCACACGAGAGGAGAAAGCAGTTTAACAATTTAAACAGTTCAGCGGTTTAAAAATCCATTAAAAGAAATGGTTTATCTTAAAAGTTCTGGAGAATATTATTTTGGAGACCAGCCTCCGAGGAAGAAGTTGACACAATTGTTTCTTATTACATTTGCTGGTTCAAAGGATTAGGCAGAGCTGAAGATGAAGGGCCACCTTTGCTCATTATACTGTGAGGCTATGAAGTCACTAATGTTCACATGCAGTCTGGTGTCATTTGTAAATGATTTATTTTTCATCATTTTATTAGATCTCGCATAAACAATGGAATCTGCAAAAGCAGGGAATGATATTTACAAGAATCTCTCCCTCAGCCCCCTACAAACGCCATCTGTTATCCCAAGCCCCCTAGGTGCAGAAGCTGAGGAATAAATAATACATATTACTGAAAAGCAGTCCATAAATACAACATGAGACAAATACCCTGGCATGAACTTTGTTAAAAAATTACTCTTCATTTGGGCAATTCAAGACGAAAAAAGTCAACCCACAATCACATAATAATGGGTTTTATACACTTGAAGTCAGTAAATAAATACCATCCTACCTCTGGAGCAAACAAGGGATTATAAATAGGTTCAAAAAGTGCCACACTTGCTGTTTCTATTCTGTACAGCTGAGTTTTGCAAGAGCAAGAAACCTGAACTTTAGATATGCCTGCTGAGTTTGTAAGTAGTTCTCTCTTGTTGCATTTTCTTAAGTCTCTGTTGTATGCATTTGACCTGCCAAATATCGCTGTCGGTAATGTAAACCATTGTCTCTAGAGACTCTTCTAAAGTGAAGTTCATATTCTATTGTATCTCTTCGATTGTCAGGCTGGAAACTCAGGCTTGCATGTCTGCGTACTACTAATCTTCAATTAATAGTGCGGTTACATTAAAAAAAGCCAGTGATACACGAAACAGACAATGCTGAAACTGGAGTCTTCTCCTGGTAGTGATATTAGCAGTAAAAGAACTGGGATGGTTTTATCTTCTTATCTTTTGGGGGGCATTCGTTTTCAAACATAATTACCATCAGTGCAGAAGTGCAGGTGGTTTGTGCAGCCCAGAGATTGTAAATTCTCAGTAGAATGATAGTGCTGCAGCCTTATGGGAATTGGGGTGCTGCAGTGATTTCATTATTCTGGGAGTTGTGTTGAATTTTTCCACCAATTCTGAATGAACTGCAAAATCAATGGCCTTGCTCTTCTGTGTTGATCCTGTGTCACAACATGGTATGATGTGCAGCTAAGTGATACATGACCTTGTGTACGTATAATGTGTACCCTTGAGCCAGGCCCATGCTTCTTCTGGGCAGGAATGCAGGTGGGGGAAAAAAAGGTACAGTACAGGTACAGTACAAGGAGGTTGTAACGTTTCATTTTTGGCTTTAGCTAAGAGTACTTAAAACATATATAATGTATGCAAGGGCACAAGTAATAGGTTTATTCCATGCTGAAAAGAGAAGAAAGAAAACACAATGTTTTGGCCGTGTAGCCTGTTTCAGATGTGAGCACCTTTCTTCTCTTTTCAGCTTGGAATAAACCTTATTACTTGTTCCTTTGCAGCCTGAGCATGCTGACGCAGCTACCCACCTGAACTACTTCAACATGCATATATAATGTATGTTTTTGGGGCAGTACGGTGGTACTGTGACACAGTGGTTTGCATTGCTGCCTAGCAGCATGGGGGCCTGGGTTCATTTCTGTATCTGGGTTCTATCTGTGTGGAGTTTGTATGTTCTCCCCATGTTGACAGGGGTTTCCTCTGGGTGCACCGGTTTACTCCCCCAGTCCAAAGACATACTCGTAGGTCAGTTGGCTTCTGGGAAAATTGGCCCTGGTGTGAGTGCGTGTCTGTGTGTGGCCTGTAATGTACTGGTGTCCCATCCAGGGTGTAATCCCCCTGCAACCCTGAATTTGATTAGGCTATTAGAAAATGTATGAATGGATAATTTATACAGAATATTAAGGGACCAGCAGGAGCAGGTGTCATGGCTTAGAATACTCTTACAGAACTTTTAGAATTGCCTTCCATCTCTTCAACCACTCTCACTATGGCAGTTATTCATTCATATTTCCAGTCATTGCCGAACCCAGAAGCTGCTGTAAAGTTGTGCACACTCGAATAATGTCAGTTTAGTTTATTGAGGTTCCCAATAGAGTCATACAGCATATTGGGACAATATATTCCCAATATATATACTGGAATTTAATCATGGGTTTTTTACAGTCAAGGAATATGGAAAGAGATACAATTTATTTCAACACGATTTTAAAAAGCAGCTCTTGCAACAGAAACTGAACACAAGCTTTTCCCTTCTTGACTGTTGAAAGAATTCATTTAGTTTTAAATTATGAAAGACAGCAGGGAGTATGCATCCACATTTAGTTCATTTCCAAAATACAGTAGTATCATAAGTTGGTTAACTGCAGAATTACTCAATTCATAAGACCATTTCAGCTGCTGTCTTCTAAGATAAATGAAAGTTTATGAAATGTGAAAATGCTATCAGTGGCAAATATCTTAAAAAACTGGTTATTCTGCTTAATAAATCATTGAACAATCTTATGTCAGGTATATGGAGCTAAGAAGATGCCGCTATAAATGGTGGCAACTGTATAAAGCTGCTTGGAATTCAACACACTTTTTAAAGTTTTAACCAGCCATGAATCATCTCAGCTGCTGCTACAACCCTCGTAAAAGCGCTTTGCTTCCCAAAAAGCAATGTTGAGCTTCTTGCTCTTTTGTGCTGGAAGCCTCTTAATGCCTAGCATAAGGGGGGAGGGGGGGGGGTGATGTTGCTCTTCTTCCCAAATCTTCACATTCATAGGCTCTTGATAAGGTGAATATTGTTCTATTGACCTCTAACCTAACAGGGAAGAAGCTGTATATTTCTCTGGTCTCCAGTTCATTTCAGTACACAGCTGGACACACTCAGAGAAACGAGTTATTTGGCAACATCAAAATGATGAAGTTAAAAGCACGTTTAATAAGCCATGTCAGAGAGCAGTAAATAAGAGCCCGTATCGAACATCTTTAAACATGTTTAGGGCCTTGTATATTGAGAACATTCCTTTGAGGTGATTTCAACCATTGCTCACTGGGGTGAGTTGATATAGATTGAGGTTTAAAGTTTATATACTGTAAACGTTATAGGTCGGACTTCATTCTCACCGTTTACATACTGTAGTTACATAACGTAGGTGTTGTTATGTCATTGGAACTTACACTGCCATGGCATTCAGATTAAAAAAATACTATTTTAGGACCAAGATGCCTTACAGGTTACTCCTTTTCGTATTCATTTAGATGCTGGCAGGGTACAAATTCCTGTGACCACTTTGACAATGTACAAATTGTTCTCAAGGAAGCTCTGCGGGAGTGGCCTCACAGTTCTGATTTGTGGGCACACTGTGAGGTCTGTTAACAGCTTCTGTGTTCTGTAAATGTGCTTCTGTTCCACTGACTTTGTTGCTGGGAAGTGACAGTGAAGCCCAACGAAGCACACACAGGAGTTCATAATCTAGACTGCTGCTTGTCGGTTTAACAGCACTCTCCTGTTTCAAAGATGACATGGCTGCTCTCAGGTTTTTTTTTTGCTTCTGTCTGCAAGAACAGTGAATCCTGCTAAACAGTTGGTTATTTTGTTCTAGAAGTTATATTTTCAGCTTTGTATCTGCTTCTTAGTGTAACGAACAGTTCTTTCCGGACCCTATGCGGACGACAGTCCGATGGAGTGGGGAAACACGGGAAACGTCATGCAGGAAAACGGGGCTGAAGACAGGGGGGCGTGTCCAAGGTGCGCTGGTGCACGGGGGAGGTGTGGCCGAGGCGAACAATCCAAAAGAGTAATCCTTAGAGTATCCAAAAACACACGAGAAAGTCCAAAACCAGGAGATCCATCAAAACACGAAGTTAAAACCACG